ATCTTCCAATTAATTCTATTTTTGGAGAAAAGTCTGTATACATACCCAAAACATGCATAAACTATACAGAGCACAATATATTTTTTATCCCAAGAGCTTTGCAAAAAGTGGCAGTCTCAGCTAACATTTGCTAAACCCTCTAACTGAATTGCAAATTAGCAGTCCTACTTTCAAAAGGAAAGACTTGAGATTGACCAAGCATCAATCTTACTGTTCCTTGTCAATAACTATATTAGTTAAAGAATATATTCCTGAGATTGATTCTTAAAGAAAACAGGTACTTCTTTTTCCTGGTGTACTGTAATGTCAAACAGGTTGCTTGAAGCCCTATGTACAACAAACTGGACCATTCTCATTTGTTGTGCAGTCAATATTTAAGACACAAATGGAAGACTCACTTCTTGAAAATCAAACTAAGGACTACTACAAAGAAAACTCTCTCTTTTTGAAAGCGTAGCTGTGTCAACCCCCCAATATGAGCTGAGAAATGTTGTGAATAAAGTCGCTGTTTGTGTATTTCCAATCCTGCTGATTGCATCTTGGAACCCATTCCTTTAAGAAGCTTTCTCTCTCAGAAAAAAAAATTAAATCCATTTTTCACCCTCAGAGCAAAGATTTCAGGGTTATTTTGCTGGTCTCCCAATTTCAGTTACACACACACACACACACACACACACAGAGAGAGAGAGAGAGAGAGACAGACAGACAGACAGACAGACAGACAGACAGACAGACAGACAGACAGAGACAAAGAGGCAGAGACAGAGAGACAGAGGCAGAGAGACAGAGAGAGGCAGAGGCAGAGGCAGAGAGAGACAGAGAGAGACAGAGGCAGAGACTAACTACGGTATTAGGAAAGTATTTATGCAACTGTGCATAATACCTTACTAGCCCTTAAAATAACACTCTTCCCCTGTAGTCTTCTGTGTCCTCTGAAAAATTGTTTCAGTGTTGGAAGTCCCTCTAGAATTGGGGGGTGGAGGAATACGGCAATGAAGGTTAAGGATGAACGTGGGAATTAATCAAACTTGTCTCTTCTGTTCAGGGGAATAACAATTCTGTGTCATTTTTGACACTCTATGTAACATGCCAGGTTCCTATCACCTAATTCCATGTACAAAGGCAGTCACCTTTCTAGATACCTGTTAAATAAGTGGAACAATAATGCATTCTTGACTTTTACTAGGAACAGATGCATTTGTCTTTCCCTTTCTAATGCCTGACCAAGGGAATAAAAGACTTTGTATCTGTTCCAAGATATAAAGTCAGCGACATCAACAATGGGAGATTTAATTTGGATCCAAGTCACAATTGATGCAAACCAGGACAAACTTATCTCTACTACACATCACATAAATTAGAATAAACATCCCTGTTCTAGCTGCAGTTCTCAAGATCTTTGAATCCCGTTTCCATTTTAACAAAAGCTCACAATACAAAAGACTTGAGCTTATCATATCTGATTTAAAAAAAAAAAAAAATACATGAACAGATTTCTAGAATAGACATGAGTGTTGGATATTTTTCACACAGTGCAAGATAATCAGGTTAGTCACTGCACCAGTCGTAACTTCACTAAGGGCTGTTGTCTTTACTTGCTTTCCCATCCTTGTGTTTTTTCCTTTCCTTCTAGGCAGGCCCTACTAAAGCCCTTTACCACTTCTCTCAGTTCTTTCCATCTGTTCTGAAGAGTATGTTTACAGTAGCATTAGAGCAGAGGTCCCCAATCCTTTGGGCAATAGGGACCGGTTCCACGAAGAGAGGTTTTTCCGCGGACCAGAGAAGCTGTGGTTTCACGTACTGCCTGCATCCCGTGGATGGGGCTTCGCTTGTTTGCACAGACTGGTTTCTGGCATGCCGCAGCCCGATGCCGGTCCGTAGACCGGGGCTTGGGGACCCCTGCATTAGAGAGCTTTTCACCTTAAGGAGTGTGAATGAATGATGTGGTAGAAACTCTTAGCTAGATTGGAGAGAAGGTTAAGAGGGGATTGAGCTTAGAGTCCTTGCACTGCAGAAAGCAACACAGGCCTGACCTCCCAAAGAATCCCTGAAGCCTTATCTGACTCTTCCCAACGGAATGTAGTCAATCTGGTGAGATTCTTGCAACACAATTTACTAACAGTAAAGCTTCTGCTTGAGACCCGTTCATCTATGGTTCTGGTTGAGCAGAGAGAGCACTGTTGTTGTTGTTTTTCAAAGTCGGGGAGGTATGTGGACATTCAAGAGGCACCATCCAGTGGTATTAAAAATGTTCCTGCTGATTTGGATGGTTGAAGCCAACAGCTATGTGAAAGGACCTATTTATTTTTATTTTATTTTATGAGGTACCTTCCTTCTTTTACCAGCATCTTATAATCGGATATAGGAAGAGTGCTATAAAAATGTTTTATACAAGGGGTAATGCAGAGACTCATAGATGGCATATAAACACATATTTGTATATCTGGATTTTGCCAATTAAAGGTTATTTAATGAAGTTTATCAAAAAAAATTGGGACAGAAAGAACAGCGCAAAAGAAAATGTATAATCTAAATGTATAATGTATAATCTAAATGTATATTAGCATATTATAGCCATTGTTTGGTCAATCATACTAATTAGATGATTTGTATAATCTGTGTCCTGTTATATATATAATTTTATTCCCTTATTTATATTATACCATTCCTGATAGATTTCTTGATAACACAGTAAGGCTTGATATCTAAACAGATTAAAAAGTAAATTTTTGTTCCACCCACCCAATCTGTTAATGAAATACAACAATTAATTATTCTTATGACAAAGAATTAAATCAAGTGATTACATGATAGTAAACTGTACGACTCCTAATAAACTTGAGAGCTTTGGGGCAAGATTTTTTTAAAAAATCTAAATCTCTGAAGCACAAATAGACAAGGCTAAGAGTACATAACATAAAGCCAATATACAATTAGCAGCACCTTATTCTAATTATCTTTCAGCAGTTATAAAGGTTGGTCTGTAGTTCATTTTTCTCCATGGATTACTCCTTGGATTGCTTCTGTAGATTAATTTTGGAAGAACTGGTACATTCCTTTTTATTTTTAAAAGCAAGCTAACGCACAAAACTAAAATCAATGAAGAAATCCTATTTGGTGACCTTCCACAGCCAAGATTGCATCTTAAAAATGTAATGAGTTTTCTTCCTCTCTCTTATAACAATTGGCAATAACTGATACAGCACTATGATTTCATTTAAACAACTCTCCATCATTAGAAAAGAGCTGAAGAAAAGAAAAGCTATGTAAACTATACTAACCATTCATTGGGAACCTACTGAAAAATATACTGGAAGGATGAGAATGCAGTATCCTCTACAATAATTGATGAAAAATGAGAAAAAATAAGCAACCCAAAGGGGTAAAGAAAAGTATTTATTCACATTTTTGGAATGTAGTTATCGAGGCTATAAAGTAAGATATGATGTGATTTCAACTGCAAGGGCTGCATACTTGAAAAGTCCTAAGATTTGTGAAATAAGATTTGATAAACTTTAGAACTTATGGGAAAAAAACAAGGTTAGAACTATGAGACAAATAAAATCATGATTCAATCTGTTTAAAAAATCCCTCAAACTGTATTTTTAAAAACTAGTAAAGATTATGCTGGATAATCTTATAATGAATGAAATTACAAGCCAGTTCTAAGTATTTTTTACTGATATCATGCCCATTGCACTCAATCATTTTCTAATATAATATTGTGGGGCTAGATGGCTAGAAGGAAATGTTTAGATCATTTATTTTGTCCTAAGTAGATCCGTGGTAGTCATGAACTCCTAAGACACTTCTCAGAGACCTATATCACCATGTATGTTGAAATCCCTGACAGCCTTGGGACCCCCACCACCACTTCTAAAATCAGCTCAGGCAAGGAGACTGCTGGGTGGGGCCAGATGCCTATCCTGTCTTGATTACAAGGGGTTTTTGGGGTGGGAGAAGAGAAGCATGCATTATTTAATAGCCACAGTATCTAGAAGTCCAGCAATGCTACATCATGAAGCTCTGTAGCACCTCCCTTCGACCAGTCCGCTCCCACAGAGAGGGCCTCCTTAGGGTGCCGTCGGCCAGACAATGCTGGCTGGCGACCCCCAGGGGGAGAGCCTTCTCTGTGGCAGCCCCTGCCCTCTGGAATGACCTACCCCCCGACCTACGTACAGTTGCGGACCTGCGCCTCTTTCGCCGAGCCCTGAAGGCCCATCTATTCCGTGCAGCCGGCCTGGCGTAGTTTGATTATGTTTTAGTGGGGGTTTTGTATGGGGTACTTTTAGAGCAGGCCTGTTATTTAATTTGATTTTAGAACAGAAACTTGTGTATATTTATCGTGGTTTTTATTATCGCCTGTTCACCGCCCTGAGTCCCGTAAGGGAGATAGAGCGGTATATAAATTCAATAAATAATAATAATAAATAATAATAAAATGGCTGTCTTCTCCATCCCCATCCTTCTAACTTCTATGCATCCTATGATTATGTAGTGTAGTGCCTTTCAAACCGTATTCAAGGCTTGCTGCTAGGAGCTATTACTACTACCCAACCAACCACAGGATCACTGAAACATTTATTACATTGGTATTCTATTGCTTACTTCTGATTTGGGGAGGCCCCACTCTCTGCCTCAGCATGAAAAGTAGAAGCAGTTCTTTTGTGGCTTGTGTCCTAAATTAACACTTCAAACTATATCACACAACCTAAGTTTTCTGTATTAAAGTCTCTATGGCTTTGAGCTAGCCTCCAGGTTGGAACAACTTACAGTTATTTATGGAGTTTCTCTTTAAGGTACATGATCCCTGACATTAGAGAAAAATAGCTTCAGTGATTCCAAGGTGCAACATTTCATTCATCCTGATCTAATGAATCATGATCAAAAATATTTTTAGCAGAAGCTAGGTGAACTGCGAGAGATAAAATTTATACTGAACCACTACGGTGCCAATAAAAACCAAGACCCTGGATGAGAGATGTTTCTTTTTATCTTACCTCCAGAGCCTTCAGCCGTTCCAAGAGTAATTTTGATTTGTCTCTTTCCTCTTCGCTGTTGCTGTTTTCACTCCTTGAATGTTTATCTGACATGCAAATGTCTTCCACTCCTGTTTTGCACTGCTTGCCCTCTTGCATTAATGTTTCCTAAAACAATGAATATATATTTTCATCAACTAAAATGAGAATGATTGTTAGAAAATGTGCTGGAAGTACATTATTACATTAACACCCCAACAGGAACTTTTTAATATGCTACTTACTTACTTATTAGCATTTATATTCTGGCCACTTCCAGAAACTTCTGCTGGCTAAAAATCATAATCGTAACATAAATATAATACAAAAAACCCAAGAGACAACAAAGCGTTAAAAGGGTTAAAAACAATCCACACCATGGTTCTTAATCTCCAAAGGCTAATCTGAAAACCTTGGTGTTACTCAAGGTAAAAACAAGGAGCCATAAGGATTGAAATTCAAAGAAATAAGGACATGAGTGACTTGTTAAAGCCTCCTTCTCAATAAAGAACCAGAAGCTGAAGCTGGGATAGCCCCTGAAACCCAAACTCCAACAGCCGTTCTTTCATGGACCTGTTAATTCAAGGAGAATGTAACTCTATTCAGAAGTAGCGTAGAGGCCAACAGACAATGTGTGGACAAGGAGCCATTTTGTCTTGCTGGAATTCAAAGTCAGCCTGTTTCATCTTATTCAGGCTTCACAGGATTAGAATATTAATGGTATTACCTGTCTATTTACAGTAGGAGGTATCTAACTAGGTATTATGTGCACACTGAAAGTTTCTTACTCCAAACTACAGATGACTTTTCCCAATGATTTCAGAGAGACGTTTCACAGAGATGGGGGACAACACTGAGCCTGGAGTCCATTCAATATATAACATCTAATATTTAAGGAATGAGGGAGTTTGTTTTGTTCACAACTTGAATTAACAATGATGTAGGACTTACACTGAAATTAAAATCCTCATTAAATGTTGTCTGTTAAATCAGAGGCCCCCAACCTCTGGATAGAGGTGGAGAGAGGGGGTGTGGTTTTGTGTGCTGCCTGTACCCTGTGGATGGGGCTTTCCTTTTTTATGTCGACTGGTTGCTGGCATGCTGCGGCCCGGTACTGGACCACGGACTGGGGGTTGGGGACCCCTGTGTTAAATAGAGTTATATTAAGGACTTTGTCTGCACCAGTGCTCCTTTGGTCACCAGTTCAAACCTTCTTCACTTATCTCTTACGTATTTTAAAAATGAGAAATACATTTCTAACATTAGTGTACTCAACACGAATGTGAGCCAGAATGAAGAAGCTCACAAAACATTGCCATTCTATCAAATATTTTGGCTTCTAAATCCTTACAGAAAATAAAGGAGAAAGAACTACAAGGACAATATATACAGAACAGTTCCAGCCTTAGGCTGTAAAAATAATAAACTTATTTCAAACCTCTATGACCATAAAACTAGATAATTTTATCACCAGAACTGGCATTAAGGCTTGACGTACATGAAGAACTGCCAACCTATCTAATATTTCTCAACCTATCCTTAGGTAACTTGACTACTTCACACTGAATACTGCCTCAGACAAACCAATACTTTTCACACATACAATTTATTCCAACAATGTGCTAGTGCTTATGTGGAAGAAGCTCTCTGTTTTTAAGCACTTATGTCCATTGCTGGCAGATCCTCTGTGGGTGCTGACAGTAGCAATGAAATTGAACAACTTTGAGAAAAGAAGATGTTCACAATAAAAGTGCAAAGCATCAAAATACATTTGAAATTCTCTACTTTTACAAAACAGTAATACATTGAAAGATCAGTTAGGCCAAATCTAGTTTTCAACTACATGCATATAAGCCGCCTGTTCATTTACTTGACTGTACTGTATATTGGATGCAGTTTTAAATCTTGACCTTCTTATCTCCAATTAGACAATGCACATGATCTAAGCTACAAGCAGAAGAGTCAACATTGCTCTCTTTTGTTTTTTTTAAATAGATGATTAAAATGGATATTCTCCAGTGAACCTTAACAACAACTCTCCACACCGCTTGAGGGAAAATTGGACAGAGTGTGTATAGTTTTGATCTTTTCTTGTTTATTTCTATGGGCAGTGAGAGTACAAAAGAAGTGGGGAGAGACAACACAGGGGAGATGGCTACACAGGGAAAAATAAAAGAAGTTAAAGGGAGAAGAAAGAGAGGGGAGGCAGCAGAAAAGAGATAAAGAAGAAGTATACATTTGCATGAGAATAGATATACTGCTTCACTTTTTAAAAACATTTATATCGTGTCTCTTTTCCACTGATGCAGCTGACAATAATCCTTGAAATATTATTCAGTTGCAAAAAAGAGAAAAACAAAGTGGCAACCCCCAAGAAGTGGCTAGGTTGATATGCTACCTTTGATTTTGTCAAATTTTTAACCCAGCAGGGGATACCCAAAACAGCCCTGGGTGTTAAGTGCTCTGCTGCTAGATAATAAATTAATGCCATATAGATCAGGACTATTTTTATTACAACAGCTATAGTGTATGTCATGAAAGCCTGAATATGCTTCCGCCTTCCCTCCCTTTATCTTTGTGTGAATTAGAGCAAGGCCTGTCTGAGGGGTTTTTTTTTTTCAAATGAGTTTCCAAATTTAAAAAGTACACTGAAGGATGATAAAATGAGAAATCAAACTTGTTAGAATTTCTCACCAGAAAATGTAAATATGTTACTATTTGCTTCCTAATTTATTTATTTAACTTAACATCTCATTTTGCCCAGATATCTTTTAAATGTATGGAAATATATTACTGTTGCACACTGCCTGGAAATACATGCAATGACTGTCAGCATACATTTATTTTAAACAAAATAACGCTTCTAAAAGCAATGTTCTCCTTCAACATTTTAATTTGTGTTTAGCGTTACTGGTTAATAGGAAGAGGGTCCATGATCTTCTCTCTGCCGTTTCAAAGGCTTTCAAAACAGTCAGTGAACTACAATGGTTAAGATGTTGGGCTAGAACCAGGGAAACCTCAGAGAGAGAAGCTGATTGACTGACTGGACCATTTCTAAAATAACCTATCCCACTGGCAACTGTTCTATGCAAATTAGGAGAAAAAGGGTATAGGCTAATTTGAGCATTTAGAAAAAGGTTAGACTACAAATATGTAAATGTATATATAAATTACACTTGTCTCACTGAGCAGACTAGAAACAAACAACATTGTTGCACTGAGAGATTGTATATCATATGTTAGATTTAAACATACATTTGCTAAAAAGTGGTATTATTCAGAAGCCACCACAAAATAATTACCAAAATATAGTTTATGTTCATTTTTAATCTAAAATTAAACCAGCAGCTAAAGTAGTTAAAGTCACTCTATGCCAGGCAATGTATTCAATAATGACACCAAAGTGTAGCTTTCTTGGCTTTTTTCTGCAAAATATTCTGCTTATAATATTTGCATTCTTTTCAATTTCATGCCTTTCTTATATCTTATCAAAATTAGTAAAAAGAGGAAAAAAGCATAAAAATTATTTACCAATATGTACAATTAAGAGGAAATAAGAAACTGCTGAAACACTTTGAAGCACCACATGAGCACGCCTGTTCTGAAATGTCCATGTTTCCTCAGAAAAGAATTATTTTCATGAAAATTGGTACGATCGTTAAGAGATAGGTCACACCATCCCCTGCAATGAAGAGATAATTCTATCCTAATTATAGGAGTTCTCAGTTTTTTTGACATCTCCTTCATGATTAGCATGACCAAAGATGAAGAAAGAGAGAACTTTGGGATGAAACTAAATCAGAAGTGGGAGTTTTGAACATATTACAGAGACTACTGAGCACCTGTAAGGGGCAACCTATTCCTGACAGACAACGGCAAGGCATGCTCTGCATATCTATTTTATATTCTGCACAGATTTACACTTTCTAAAAACTTGCTCCTCATTATTAACTTATAACACTTCATTATTCAGTGCCAGATGGCTATAATTTGTCTCTTCCCTTTTCTATCAGGGTGGTAAAGCAAGGGCTTGGGATCTAAAACAGACAAGAATTTCTAAAACTGAATATAGAAATTTGATTCTAAAGCAGTGTTTCTCAACCTTGACAATATTAAGGCATGTGGACTTCAACTCCCAGAATTCCACAGCCAGCAATGCTGGCTGTGGAATTCTGGGAGTTGAAGTCCACATGCCTTAAAATTGTCAAGGTTGAGAAACACTGTTCTAAAGTATCTAAATAGACAACCAGGAGTGAAATTTGCTTCTCATAAAAGCCTGTTTAGTCTAGTGCAGAGTTTCCCAACCTTGGCAATTTCCTCAGGTATATGATTTCAACTCTCACAGCCAGCATAGCCACTGCTAAGAATTCTGGGAGTTGAAGTCCACTCACTTTCAATTTGCCAAGGTTGATAAACACTGGTCTAGTAATTAAGGTATCAAGTTAAAAAAAAAGGAGATTCTGAGTTCTTGTTCTGCCTTAGGCATGCAAGCCAGCTGGGTGATTTTAGGCCAATCACTCTTTCTCAGCCCCGCATACCTCAGAGGAAAATAGGAGGAGGAAGTTGTTTTAGGCATGTTTACCACCTTGAGTTATTTGTAAAAATAATAAAGGTAGGATAAAAAAAACTTTTTAAAAATTGCTTCTCTGAGGTCTGGTCACTGCTTATTCTTAGCATCACAGTTCTAACTCAGGAAATCCTTCAGAATTTGCAGTGTTATAGGGATCCAAGAAGGTATTGCAAACAGAATGTGATTAAGAACTATTTTCTATGACTAAGAATGGCTGTTGGCGGTTTTAAACTGAAGATTTAAAAGATGCCAACCATTTAATCTGGGATTTTCGTATGCATAGCAGGTACCCTTTGACTGCCATTTTCTACTCTTTCTGCAGTCGAATGGCTAGTGGCAAAGTCCAACACAGAGCCTTGAGTGCCAATTGCTTCCTTTCATAATCCAGCAAGATGACCGTGGTGTCAGAAAAAGCTCAAGGGATTGGAGATGGAGGGATCTGAACTATGATGCTACCAAGTGATTAAGGAAAAACATTTGCCTCAGGCAAAACAAGTGATAAAGTGTTTTTAACTTTCAAAATCAAGGAAAGGGGTAAGGGAAAAATGAATACAAACAG